CCCCCCCTCCCTGGGTGCGGCCCCCTAGCCAATTTGTCACCCATCTGGCTGTGTAGGCATCAATGCCACAGTCGCCTAGTTTATTGATGAGAATAGTGTGAGTCAGTGTCAAAGGCCTTCCTGAAGTCCAGAAAGACTACATCCACCGCAACACCTGCGTCCAGTGATTTTGTGACGTGGTCGTAGAAGGCCACCAGGTTGGTCTGACAGGACCTGCCCTTAATGAACCCATGCTGGCTGCCCCAGAGCATCATCCCCGGTGCTAGTCCCTCCCAGATGTGCTCCTGGATAATTTTTTCAAAGAGCTTCCCCAGGATCAAAGTAAGACTGTCAGGCCTGTAGTTGCCCGGGTCCTCCCTCCTCCCTTTTTTGGAGATGGGGACCACACTGGCCCTCTTCCAGTCGTCCGGCACCTCACCAGAGCACCACGAGTGCTCGTAAAGCCGTGCCAGGGGCCCCACAGTGACCCCTACCAATTCCCTCAGCACCCTGGGGCGGAGAGCGTCTGGACCTGCTGGTTTGAACACGTCCAGCCCCTCCAGAAGTTCTCTAACGCGGTCCTCCCCGACCCTGGGCCTGGCGGAGTCTCTCCTGAGTCCGTCCTGAATGTCGGTGGGGGAGTCCTGGTCCCTGCACAGAAAAATGGAGGCAAAGAAACTGTTAAAAAGGTCTGCCTTTTCCTCTGGTGCAACCACCAGATTGCCAAGTGTATCCTGCAGGGGCCCCACGGTGCCCGGTGCCACCTTTTTGCTCCCTATGTATTTAAAAAAGGACTTTTTGTTGTCCTTGATCCTTGCCCTACTTCCGTCTCTGCCTTAGCTTTCCTAACAGTCCCCCTACAGACCCGAGCGCGATGGAGGTACACTCCTCTTCGGTGAGAGCCCCTCCCTTCCACTGGGTGCACGCCTCTTTTTTGGCGTTCCTGAATGCCTTTGGTGAGCCGGGGGGGGGCTTTTGAGCACTCTTGGCTCTTGCCCCCTCTGATTCTTGTTGGGATTGTCACCTCTTGGGCTCAGAGGATCATCTCCTTAAGGAACGACCACTCGTCTTGGACACCCAGTTCCCCTACCCTCCAGGATCCCGGTGCCTCTTCAACTCGTTGAAGTTGGCCCTCTTGAAGTCGAGTGCTGCTGCCTTGCTGCAGGCCCTTGCCACCCTGCCCTGGATGGTGAATCCCAGTAGGCGACAATCACTGTTGCCCAGGTGGTTGAGGACCTGGAGTCCCCTCACCAGGTCATCGCCTGTGGCCAGAACCAGGTCCAGGGGGGCATTCCCCTGGTGGGACCGTGCACCTCCTGGGATAGGTGGTGGTCCTGTATCTGACTGCTCCTCCCAGCAGATGTCCGGGTAATTTAGATCACCCGTGATGACTACATCCCTTGCCTTAAGTGCCTCCGCAAGCTGACCCAAGGACTCACAGTCCAGCTCCTCTCCTTAATGGTGGGGGTCTACTACAGACCACCTAACCAAGTCCCTTTCCTCATGACTCCCCTGTATTGTGACCTGAGCACTTCAGCCTGTCCCTCCTCTGACCCCATCCTGAGGCAAAGTGGCTCAGCTCATTCTCACAGATTTCTAGTGGACTCTGTGGGGAGATGGACATGAAATTTTCCATTTGAGCTCAAATTCCTGATTTCAGAAGCCAGGCGAGGTTGTGCATCTCTTCCACTGTTTGCATCTTTGCTTTGAGATCCAGGGAACCGCCTGCTACCAGGTGTTCACAGGAGAGGCCAGCTGCCCTGCATGGGGTGGGTATGTGGGTGATAATATGTCTCTCTCTTGCAGCTTTGGGGTTTGAGCAGAGACCTGTTCTTAGGACCATGTGCAAGAACACTACAAGGTGAAGTGATGAGGATGAGTACAGATGAACCAAAAGCACCTTGCCACCAGTGGTGTTTCTGGGGAACTCACTCTGCTGTCTGAGCCCTTCCTGGCAACGGGCCCTGGTCACCAGTTCCCCAGAAAGGCCCCTCTCTTGGAAAGCGGTAACAACAAGTGTCTCGAAGCAAGGCTGTTCCACTCACAGAGCATTAGTAAACTTGCTTGCTGTGGCATGCATGTATCCCCTGCCACACACAGCCTGCTTGTGCAGGGCAGGGCCGTCTATCCCCCAGGCTCCATCCACATCCTTCTCTCCCTCCTTTAAGCAAACGCACAGGATCATACAGCTCTTCCTGGCTGTTCACCTTGACCACAAGCAATGCAGAAAGCGGTGAGACATGTCCCCGTGGATGTGGCTGTGCCAGCAGGTACTTGCGGCAAGTAAGAGCTTTCTTTGTGTCCAACACGTCGTTTTACAATTGCCACCTTCTCTGCTTCCGATGCACCGGCCCCAGGCTGACGGCTGGGCCTGGCAGCACAGAGGGAAAGCTTTTGCGTGAAGGGGCCTGTTGCCAGAGTGCAGCAGGCTGCTAAGGAGGAAGCCACGTAGGCATCTATGTGACCCTGGGCCTGGCTGCTATTTGAACAGCAAGGGAGGCCTGGAGAGGTTTTCACTCTGCAGCAGTAAATCTCACCTCCAGGGAGTTAGGGGACTGCTCCCTGCTTGGAGTCCGAGCCCACAGCATGCTTTTTCAGTAGTGGTGTCCTGTGCTGCTGTTCTGGTTTCTGAGGCTGGCACTGGAGCATTAGGAAAGATGGGCAGTGAATGAGAAGCGGGTGTAAGCCAGTAGCTCTCAGACTCTTTGGCTCGTGTATCACTCCGATTCCATGTTACAGACAATAAAGAGTAACGCTTCGTGAGCCTGTCTTTAAATTATTTTGTTTCTTTTTCATCCTTTCTTGTTTCTTTTTCCATTTCCATCTTGTTTCCTCCAGAAGTTGATTGCATGTCCCAGGAACGTGCATACGCCAGTTTAAGAAAGCACATGTGTAGCCTAAGTTAGTGTTTCTTGGACAGCAAGTTTGATAGATGGAAGCAACTTGTTCTGGGTTTAAGGGCCATACTTACCTGAATCAGAGGGCAATGAAGATGCAGCGGGGTACGTCTGAACAGAGTGAAGTTGGTTGTAGAGGGATCTGTAGCCGGCACCTGGAGCGCAGTTCCTGCAGCTACTTCCCGGGGTCCGAGACTCCTAGACATCGTACCTGGGGGCTCAAACAAGCAAACCAAAGCACGAATGTGACAACCCGTGAGTAGCATGGTGATGTCTTTTCCCTTATTAGCAGTGAAGCAAGAAAGAAGGAAGTCAACGCAGGGAAACACAAGACTGGAGGGTGGGGGAAGAGTAAGAGAAAGATTAAATGAACTTTTCAAAATGCAGGGAGGGGCCATGACTAAGGATGGACATAAGTCACGAAACCTGGAAGGGAGGCAACAGGTGAGGCCTGTATGAAGAAAGGACGATCGTTTCTGGGGGGAAGGTAGGCTGACCAGTAGGACAAATGGCCCGAAAGCACCGAGGGAGTAGACCCTTGGGACATTCAAACCTGCCCTGCAGTGATGCTGGCAGATATACAAGGGGGAGACCTTGTCCATCCTGCGTGGAGAACAGAAGAAAGGCTCCGTCCTTGGCTGCTGGTGCTTCTGACAGGCTCTTTCAAGTGAAGGGTTCCCTTCCTTGTGGCCTGCTGGCATCTTCATCAGGTGCCAATTCTTCCTGCTTTCCCCCTGGAAAAGCAGGTAGGCTGGAGCTTCAGGTGCAGACTTTGCTTAGTGTGTTTTGGGTGGAAGAAGCACAGAACCTGGATCACTGCTGTGAGCAGGTGACAGAAAGAGGGGCAGGCAGCACCAGTGCCAATATCCTATCCACGCAGGGCTGTTTAGCTGGCACTTACCTGGGCAGAGCCGAAGGTGCTGGGAGGATCCGTCTTCACTCAGCTTGGCAGCGAGGAATGACGGCTCAGTCGGGTTTTCCAACTCGAAGCATTAACGTTCTACCTGAACGCCAGAGTTGGTGACTAGGTTGCTGCAGCATGACCGTAAACGGACGCAGCTGTCACAAATGGGTTTCTCCCACAATTAATCCCTTAAATACAGCAGGCATCAGAGGACATAAGAACATGTTGCTCAGGAGCAGCACACACAGTATTTAGGCGCTAACAACCGTGCTCTGGCATGCCAGACGTGCTGGTGGGGCCCTGGAAGTAACACAAATGAGAACCAGAAGATGGGGGGGAAACTGCAATCAGCACATGGTTGTGAGTGCTGGGGAGGGTTTCTCCCAGCCCTCATCTTCCCTCCACTAGGGAAGGGGCCTGTCCTGCCCCCATGCATCAGCGGACTGGGCCGGGTTCTGTTGATTCTGGCCCTGCAGCATTGCTGCCATTTGTGAACCGGCTTCTCCCTGCAGTCCTGGACACTAAGGTCTTGATGGCTGGCTAAGGCCCATGCATCCTTGTGAGGCAGCAGTTAGGGCCAAATGCTGCACTGCTACTGCAGAACAAGCTTGCAACACCCTGGAATAAATCCAGGACAGTCGCAACAGGCTCTGCTCCAAGACATCTCCTTTCCCAGCAGATAGTCTGCCTGTGTCAGTACCACACGCACAACTGATCCTCCCAGGCCAGGCACCAGGTTGAGTGTTTGCTCAGCCTCGGCCCAGCCCCCTCTACCCGCCGTCATCTTGCATCACCTCTCGGGAACCACGAAGTCAGCGCTCCAGGACACTGGGAAAGGAACGCATGAGCAACGCTCCTCCCCACCCAGTGCTCAGTAGGGAGGTGCTGCAGGCTCTCCGGCCTGCCGTGCTCAGCTCCTGAGCATGAATGCACCTGCACGTGCATCCTGCTGACCGAAGCAGTCGGCCCATCGCGCTGCACCGGCTTCTGCTGAGATTCTGCCCGCAGCCCTCTCCAGGAAAAGCATGGAGAACTGCACAGTGCAGTGTCTGTGTTTTCCCTCTGCAACCTCTCCCCTCCTCCCCTGGGAACAGCCAGGACACAGGCTCACAGGAGCTGAAAGCCCCAGCTACCGCAACGAGAGATTCAACATTTATTTCATCTTAAAAGTCCAGCCATAAAACTATGTACAGTGATCCATGCACGCGTCCATTACACAGAGACATTTAAAACCTGATTAAAACACAGTCTGCACAGCAGCGGGACGGCAGGCGGGCAGGGTACGGGCAGCGCTAGCGGGGCACGTAGTCATATTTATACTTTGGATGCTTGTTGTAGCCCATTCTCTCCCCAGCAATAAGGCTCTGGATCACCCACTCTTGCGAGATGACGGGCAGACGCAAGGCTTCTGCGCACTTCAGGACAGCAGCCGGACAGGACAAGTCTGTTACCACCATGTCGAAGACCCCCAAGGCGATATCTGTGGGGAAAGGCTACTGTGAGGAAGAAGCGTCTCTCCACCCCCATTCCCCGGCTCCTGGAGGTGCCGCTGCCACCCTGCTTCAGGACATCTCCCCATATCCTCTCAGCCCCAGCCAGGAAACCGCCCCCGTGTCGAGGGCACAGCACTCAGGACTCTGGTTAAGCTCAAGACCCAAAGGCACAAGACAAGGCTGCCGCCTGCATGCAAAGGATCTTGGTTTAGTGCCACAGGGCTGTGCAAGACGAAAGCACAGACGCTCACACCAGTCTCTGTGCCCCGCAATGGAAGGACCAGCAGCTGTATGGCGGACAGCTTGCCAGCTCCTGTGCTCCCTTTCCCGCAGAGCCCAGAGCAAGGGGAAGCTTGCTGCAGCACAAGGTGCTTCTCAGGCTCCCCCATCGCAGACCGCCAGGCTGCTGTGCAGCATCCGAGCTAGTGCCGCAGGGACCTTCGCTGCAGAAGGGGTAAGACGAGAACCCCCACCCCCCACGGTGTCTAAGCTGGGCCCTGTACCCCCCACCCCACCCTACCCTGGAAGCTCGACAGCAGCCTAGGCACTGAGCACGTGCGCCAGGCCTGTGCTTGTGGCGGCACGGCAGTCCCAGCTGGGCGCGTGGCCCCCGTGCTCCCCATGCGGCTGCAGGTACCTTTGTTCTGAGCACTCGAGTGATGCTGCTTCACTGACGCCGCGCCCCCCATCATGAGGATCTCTGACCACAGCTCCAGGAAGTTCTGGCGCTGGTCGGACACCAGCAGCACCTTCAGGTTTTGGAAGGGGCTCTCGCGAGGATGCCTGCCCAGGGAGGGCAGAGGTGAGGAGCTCAGACGGTCCCGCTGCCTCGGAGCCAACAACTCTCGGGCCAGCAGTGCTCCCTGCGCTGGTACTGGCACGGTGTCACCCGCCCCCTCACTGGTGGGAAAGCCCAGGGACAGGCCTGTGGGGGACGAGGCCACAGCCCGGCACTTGGGTCCACACCTCGGGACCTGGCTCCCCCAGGCTCCTGGCTGCGGCGTTTTCCGCCCGCTCCCTCAAACCCATCCACACCCAGATTACTGACCAGATGCTAGACTGGTGCGAGTGCCAGTTCCTGCAGGGCCTGTCCCAGCCTTCCTGCAAAGGGCTGTGGACTGCTTTGCCAAGCCCACTCCCACATCTGCTGCCTGCCCTTACGTCCCGTTGGAGCTGGTTTTAAAGCAGTGCACCTCGTTTTGTGGGGCAGCACCCGCCCATGCACAGGGGAGCACCGAGCCAAAAAGAGCTGCTTAAGCTCAGGTTGCTCCAAAACTGGACAAACACAGCAAGTGGCTCCCCTTGCTCCTGCTGTTGGTTCCCAAGGGGGTGAAGTCCTGGGAACCTCTGAAAACCCCTTTCCTGAGTACTAGGTCACTGCCCTGAAGGCAGAAGTACAGGGAACACGAAGGGGAGAGCCCTGGGGTCTAGACCCTACCCGAGAGAGACGGAGAAGGCAGCTCCCTCTCCCCAGCTCAGCATGTACTTAACCTACTGGTCCCCTGAAGCCCGTGCCCTGATGGAGCCCAAGGTATACATGTAACTAGGGGGCATCACATCTGCTGCAGACGCAGACTCCCCAGCGGCGCCTGACGAATTCTGCCATCAGACAAGCCCAGGTGCTCCCGCCACCCTGCTCAGCTCTAGCGTCTTCCTGTGCCCTGTGACGAGAGCAGCCTGGAGGAGGAGGCATGCTCCCTGTGCTGCGTGAGCAGGGGCAGGAGCGCGGCTCCCACGTGCCAGGGAGGGTGGAGATTTGCTCCCCTCACTCCCTAGATCCCGCTCTATCCCCGCAGGCCACCTGCGCTGTCACTTTGTCGCCCTTGTGCCCACCCAGCCACCCTTGCTCTGGCTTCAGTCGCGTGCTGGCAGCCCCAGCCGCCTGGTGCTCACCACTCCAGCAGCCGCTGCTCCTCCAGGCTGTAGCCAGCCGGGAGCAGGTAGTTCTGGTAGTTCTGCAGTTGGTTGGCGTGGCAGCTGTCGTGGACCCAGACGTGGGACACGCAGGGGATTCCGCTGGCAAGGCACAGTAAGTACTTGCGGGTTCGGCAGTGCTGGTCCGCAATCAGGAGGCACCGGTAGGCTGCGCTGCACTGTGGGAAGGCACCGGGATAAGGCTCAGGCCTGCACTGCTGAGTGCCATGGGCCAGTTGGGCCAAGAGAGAGAATCACCCCTTTCTCAAGCTGGGTGAGAGGCCCTTGCCCTGCCCAGGGTCAGCCAGGCAGAACACCTGGGGGGCAGCACGGGGGCACGAGAGCCAGGCTGGCTAAGTCTCTGGAGGTGCATCTAGTCCGACCCGTGGCTCAGGGCAGGAGCACCCCTGTCTACACCATGGCAGCCAGGCACCCCTCTAACCTGATCTCAAAAAGCAACAGTGCCAGTGATCCCCCACAGCCCTGGTCAGACTGCGAGGACCCTTCTAGCTCACGCTCCCTCATTACACTTTCAGCCCACTGTGCCTTGCACT